ACCGCCCCGCTCCTCGGGCCGCCCCCGCCGCCAGGTCACACGAGTTCAGCTTTTAAAGCTTCTACCACTAAGGAAACTCAGAGCTATGTTTTTATTTCCGCTAAGGGACCACAGGATTTACGGCACGTTTCCACTTTAAAAAGGCGTTAATTAGCAAGGGTGGTGGGTTTTTTGTTTGTGGGTTTTGTTTTTTTTTTTTTAATCTTTACCCAAAGTCTGCTATTAGATAACAGCTTCCTTCTGCAACCCTGATCTGCACACACCTTCCAGTCAGCCACCAGACAGAGCAATACATTTGTTTTATTAGAACTCGTTAGTGAAGGCTGAGTCAAAAAAAAGCAGTTACGATCGGCAAGACAGACCCAAGGTCTAAGAAAATACGCATTTCAGAGATGCTCAAAGTATCAAGAGAAATTAAGAAATAATGTGATCATCATCTAGGTTTGGATGGATAAGGAACCTCCCAATTAGAAAAAACAAGGAGACCAGACACTGAACAATCCCAGGCAGAAGCCACAGCCAGCGTGTAAGTAACTGACAGCGGTCACTGGAAATAGAGCAGGAACAACCCCCTCCCCCCCAGCCTAAACCCTACACAAACCTCCTCCCAACCACCCCGCCACCAAAGCAAGCCCCCAGAAAACCCAGACAAACACCACCCAAACGTAACCCCCCAACAAGCAAACGGGTAGCTCCAATCTACGGAGCTCCCGAGGCCACAGCAAAGCAAGAGCCTCCACCTCAGGCCTAGGCAGGACCGCGTTCACCCGCTGACCACCACGTCGCACCGAACTCTCTACTTACGCTTCACCTGCAACCCCTGCTCGAGGGAATTCTGGATGGACGTACAGCAGCTTGTACTCGGGAGCCGAGGCATCCCCCTCCCCTTCAGAGGGCTTCCAGCTCTCCGCTCCGCTCGTCCCCCCCTGCTTGCACTTGGCCTGCTGCCGGCCCTTGGTGTACAGGCCGGGGGTGAGATGGACGTACTCCGGGGTGAGCGGGGCCATGGCCTTCCAGTCGTACACGTCCATCTGAACAATGTGACTGGGTGACAACAGCCGAATGATATCAATCAGAAGCAGCAACCCCTCACCTTTAGGGAGCAGAGAACACACAATTGCTGCCGCCGCACCGTGACGGGTGACCAGCACCAGCTCAAGGCGAGCCAGCTGGATGTTCTGGCTCCGGCCTCTCCAGAAAGCACGACCGCTCCTACCGCACCCCCTCTGGAGAGCAGACTGATCCCCTTTACCTTTCACCCAGCCCATGGTGTTGATGACTAAAGGCACTTCCTTCTTGTAGGAGCTGAACACGTACTTCACGACATCCAGGTACCTCTCCGTGTCCTGCTCACAACTGATCTGTCCGTAATACACCATCTTACGTGGCGTCTGCTGGTGAGTGAAGGGTGGGCCTGAAAAAGCAAGCAGCAAACCTCTAGTTGCTTCAGGAGGTCAAATCAAGAAACTCCCATCCCTGTAGCACCTACACGCAATCCCTTCCGAAATAACCTGCCCTCTTTCACACGCCAGCAGTCCTTCTCGTACAGCCTCCGCCTATGGAGAACCTTTTCTGTCACTGGCAAGACTACAGCTAGGAGCTCTGTTTGTTTGGGGTTTGGTTCTTCCTTTTCTTGTTTGTTTTACATCACTGGTTACACTCTTGCGAATTTCAAAACAAGACTTTTACGACAAGACTATCCAAACAGTTAACCAGTCTGGCCACACCCTTTTTAGGCCGTGACCCGAATCCACAAATCCACAAATAGCAGCCAATTCTCTGGCTCTAGTTTTCTTATGCTCATTAACAACAGCCCCCAACCTACATGGATCCACTCAGTATTTGCCAAGCTAGTTTCATCTATGGATACTGAAAACTGGGAAACACTTCCCCAAAGAGACCTTTCAAATCTGAAAAACAACTATATTCTCTCTTTAAAACAGGAAAAAAAAAAAAAAGGGCAAGGAGAATAGCTCCATGTTACTTACTGAGATTTTCAGATGGAACCCAGACAACCCTAGCAAGAAAACTTTTGTTTTATTTTCTTCTCTGCACTTTTGACAGATGTGGCAACTTCCCCTAAAGCACCGCCTCTACTCAGGAAGCGCTTTCTGGAAATTAAACAGGTTTCTGGCAACTGCAGAAAACAGCAAAACACGTACCAAGAATTGGCTCTGTTACACTGCTTAAAGACACGCATCCAGGCGGTGTAAATTCGGTTTGACCTATGTCACATTCCATATATTCAACCGAGGGAAGGCTGCAGTGAGAGAAGCCCGTACATTAGCGACCACTACAAAAAGAAACAGGACACGACCTGGAACACATCGGAAACACAGTCTGATTTTGTTCTGGGTCGTCGACATTAAATTCTTGAATACAGTCAAACCAGCACTTGTCTCTCTCCTTCCCTGGCATCAGAGGGTGCCAAGCGAGAACGTGCAAGGCTCACCAGCAGCTCAGTGCTGTGTCAGCGCAGCTCCGCACCCCTCCAGCTTTAAGGGAACTTGCCAGAACAATAACCAGAGGTGGTACTAACCGGTGTACCTCCTCCCACGCGTTAACCACGCACCCTGAGACCAGCCACTTGAGATCTATAAACTTTATAATCTGTTTTAGGCATGCAGCGGTCAGGGGAATAAGCTTCTACACCTTGCTCTGCCAAGAACCGTCAAAGACACTAACAAATTAGAACTCACTGCGTGTTTTTAAGCCCTATAGTTCCCAGTTCCCTACTGAACCCTACCTGCTCTGTGCCCAATTAGTTCACATACTCTGAGACAGCCATCTAGTAGTATTTCAGTAGAAATGTTTCAGTAATCCACTTTTCTGAAGGCAACCCAAGACAAGAACACCTATTTTTCTGTATTTTCGTTTTAAAAGTATAGCCAGCTTCCAGCCATAACAGCTTTTCTGAGAACCTTGGCAGGCAGGCTTTTTCCCCTTCTCTCAAATCCCATGCAATACTTAAATTGTAGAACATGGAAAGACTCACCGATTCAGTAACAGATTAATTAGGTATCTGTTAAATGTTGATTTCCCACTGTTTTTTGGGCCACACACCAGAACCACGGGGACACCTTCATCTTCCTCTAGAAAAACAAACATACTCTGAAACGGACCAATGCTGCCAGCTACTCTGTTGTGCCCCCTTTACATAAATTGCTTTAAAAAAAAAGCAGCCAAAAAAAACCCCTACAGACTCTGTGGTCTGACTAGGTTGTATTTTAATTAAACAGAAAAAAAAAAGATCCACGAAAGAAAAGTAGTTTAAGTGTACCAGTGTAAAGGCAAAAGGCTCCTGACGTGAGAAGCAAGCCCTAGCACTACAACCCGGCATGTACAGACCCCAGTTGCTCATGATATTTTCCATGTTGCTGGGTAAGTAAGGGGGTGGGTTTTGTACCCGCTACAAACCAGCAAAACACGAGCTTTGACGTCAGACTGGGAAGGGCCTCTGCAGCAGCAAGCTGCCTGTCTGGCAGGAGAGACACAAACCCACTTGAGGTGATGCACGAGCTCAAAGACTCACAGGATTTAGCACAAAAACATGCTTCTCCATCAGTGCCCATCACAGGGCACACTCTCCCTGGCTTTAACTCATGAAAAGCCTCATGAATTCAGGCTCCTACAGCCCCCAAGCTCAGGCCACTCACCACAGCACGCTTGGATCAGCTCCTCCAGAGCCAGGAACATGCTCTCTGACACCAGCAGCCCATGGTCAGGGCCACACTTCACGATGCCAACCGACGCCAGAACCGCATCCTCTAGCGTGAAGCTGGATTCTTCCTTTTTCTAGGGAGAAAGGGAAACCCCTTCCAGAGGTGTGCACAAGGCCCTGTGGCCGTGTGGCCGGACACTGACAGGCACGCTAAGCGAGGCAG